GTGGGTCCCAAATTTCAGATAAGAGAAAAGAATAACTTTATCATGCTAAACTTAAAGAATTTTCTTCTTTGCTTTTAAAACACACTTTGTTTGAAATTAAAGAGACAGTAGAGCATAAGTTTTTTTTAATGTGTCTACTGGGTAAAAATGAAAAGTGACAATTCTATGTAAGTTCCTTTGCCTACATTTTTTAATAGTATTCATTGATCTAAAGAATCCAAAATCTGGCATCTGTTGGTCCAGGACACCATGACAAACCCAATACCTACCTAGTACCCCTAACAAGACTCTGTGTTAGGTCTTCTACCCACTCCTGCTCCCATTCCCAGACCACCGTGAAATCCTAGAGGTCCAAGCCATCGTGGCTGTACCATTGTCCCCGCAGACATGACCTTACTGGGAAGACCCTGAAAAGCGGGTGGGTATGCCTGAATGTCTCTTGTCTGGAAGTGCCGAGGCCATTTTGCCACCACGAGGGAAGCCAGCCCCAGGATGAAGTCAGCAGCATGAAGAAGGGGAGGGCCCCCTGGGTCCCTGGGGATGTCGCAGAGCTGACCATACCACCCAGGAGCCAGGCCACCCTGGACTTCTTGCTAAGCGAGATTGATATGAGATAGGCTTGCAGCCAGAGAGGTTGGCTGAGCTGAAAACCACAAGCCCCCATGTAATCCTACCCTCCCACTGACCAATCAAAACACCCCTTTTCACAGGAAGTGTCTGTTTCACACAGGACCTAAAGGGGGACACCATGAAAATATGGATATTGAGCTCCACATGGAACCTGTGGAGGTGCCATAGAATTCCCAGGTGGCTTCATGCCTGGAAAGGTACAATCCCTGACCTCTTAAAAGAGACCAGCAACTGAGAGAGGTTTTGTCTTCTGCAAAAGAGCACAGGCAGACCACAGCTGGAGAAGCTGTGTGGGTTCTCTCTCTCTCTCTCTCTCTCTCTCTCTCTCTCTCTCTCTCTCTCTCTTTCTCTCTCTCTCTCTTCTCCCCCACCATTCCTCCTTTCAGGCAATCCTCTGTCCCACTGCCCACTCATGATCGGTACTTCTATGGGTAGGACAGACCATGTTCGTGTGGGTATGCTCACTTTATCACCTTTTGAATGAAATTTGTTATCACTTTGCATTCCATGTACATGTCTGCACTTAGCATGTTTGCCTGGAAGCAAGCCTGGTGTGGAATTAGTACACCCCTCTGCCCACATCAAGATGACACCTAATGGTTCATAACCATTAGTGGAGTTCTTGAACATGCAGTTGAAGTCATCCTAGGGCCGGCACTGTGATGTAGGGGGTAAAGCCACCGCCTTCAATGCTGGCATCCCAAATGGGTGCCGGTTCAAGTCCCGGCTGCTCCACTTCTGATCCAGCTCTCTACTATGTCCTGGGAAAGCAGCAGAGGATAGCCCAAGTGCTTGGACTCCTGCACCCACACGCAAGATCCAGAAGAACTCCTGGCTTTTGATCACCACAGCTCTGGGCATTGCAACCATCTGGGGAATGAACCAGCAGATAGAAGACTTCTCTCTGCTTCTGCCTCTGCCTCTCTGTAACTCTGCCTTTCAAATAAATAACTAAATCTTTTTTTAAAAAAAAGTAAAGAAAAGAAAAAACAAGGCCTGGCATCAGGAAACTAAATATGCTTGCCCATATGGGCCTATGCAGATTATCTCTCCTGTAGCCCAGGCCCAATCCATGCCCATGCCTTGCCGATTTCACCTCCTAAATCTCTCACTAATCCTTCCCATTCTTCCCATCTCCACTGCCAACTCTAGCCCAGGGACTGCCAGCTCTTGTCTGATCTGAGACCTCAGCCCACCAGGTCCCACTGGGGCCTCTTCCCAACAGCAGCCAGAGTGATTCAGTTTTAATGCAGATCGGTTCACATTGCTTTTTCATTTAAAACCTGGCAATGGCTTTCTATTGCACTTAGAATGAAGTGCAACGTACTTCAGCCACCTACAAAGCCCTGAAGAACCTGGCCCTTGAGCCTCATGGAGATCCTGCAGAGCTCAGTTCAGTGACCACTTCCTCAGGGGACCCATGACTGCCTCCTCCCCCAGCACAGAGCTGGTGCCTTTTACAGATCCACAGCACTCCACAAAGCCTTTCCTGGCATTCAGTACACACATTGGATCCCCAGCCCTGATACAGCGTAGCTTTTCACAAAAAATATTTGTCAAAGGAACAGATGGCTGTTCACAAGTGGGGACAGATCCACCTGGGAAGTAGACTGTCTGCCCTGGAGCCCACCAGCTCCCAACCCTGCTCACAGACACAGAGACTCTCACTTGGCCACTCGCTCTCTGAACTGTGCTGGAGGGAGCATCTTACGAACTGAACGCTTATGTCCTCCTCAACCTCTCACGAATTCAAGCTCCAACCCCTGATGTGCTGGTATTTGGAAGTAGTGGGGGAGAGAGGACTATGGAAGGCAATTGGGTTTAGATGAAGCCATGAGGGTGGAGTCCTCATGACAAGACAAAGAGGCTAGAGCATTCCCCCCTCCTTGACCACACTACACACACACACACACACACACTCACACACACAAGAAGGCAGCCGTCTGCTAAACCAGGAGGAAAGCCCTCACCAGGTTCTTGTGCTGCCATTCCGATCTCAGACCCTTCAGCCTTCAAAGCTGTGCAAAATAAACTATTGTTTGATCTATCAGTCTATGGGATTTTGTTAAAGCAGCCTGAGTGAACTAAGACAATAAAAAAAAAAAAAAGCATGGGCTGAGAATGGACTCGTTCCAGTTCTGCTACTCACCAGCTATGTTTCCCAACTGTGTCCCTAACAGCTCCAAGTCTCAGTTCTTTGCCTGTAAAATGGGGTAATAAAAACATGAACCTTACAGAGTTCCCATGAGAATTAAATGAGACAATATGTGTAAAACTCTTAAGGGGGGCCAGCGCCGTGGCTCACTAGGCTAATCCTCCACCTGCGGTGCCGGCACACCAGGTTCTAGTCCTGGTCGGGGTGCCGGATTCTGTCCCGGTTGCCCCTCTTCCAGGCCAACTTTCTGCTGTGGCCTGGGAGTGCAGGGGAGGACAGCCCAGGTCCTTGGGCCCTGCACCCCATGGGAGACCAGGAGAAGCACCTGGCTCCTGATTCCTGGCTTCAGATCAGCCCAGCTCTGGCTTTTGCAGCCATTTGGAGAATGAGACAGTGGATGCAAGACCTCTCTCTTTCTCTCTCTCTCTCTGCCTCTGCCTCTCTGTAACTCTGACTTTCAAATAAATAAGCAAATATTAAAAAAAAAAAAAAAGAATGCCTGGCACTCAGTGTAAACATTCAGCTACAGGTACATTCACTCTTGTTCGAATGACTGCTGTAGAGCCTTAGAGAGCGACAAGTAAACAGCCTGATTCTACAGATGAGGAAATAGGCTCCCAAGACTGCAGGAGGAGCCAGCGTGGGGGCTCCAACGGGTGCTGTTCCCACCACAGCCCACACCCAGCCTGATCTGACAGCTCTAGACCCTCTTAGGGCTAAGAAGGAGTGTGAAGAAGGAGCAGCCAGGCTGTTCTCATCTCAGAGTGATCCGAGCTCTTACTGAGTGAGGGCAGAAAGGACAGGGCAGGTGCTTCTCAGCCCCAAGACAGCACCCACTCCCTCAGGAGCACAAAGAGACACAGCCCAGGAGGATGTCCCCTTTAATCCAGTCCTGTTCACCTCTTCCCACTGGCCTTCCTGGAAAGAACCTTCCAGCCTGTTCCGTGGGCTTTCTCCCAACACAATGGCGGAGCTTTCTGCTCCCGCTGGGACCCACACAGACGCGAATGGCATCCTCATCAGGCTGACACACAAAGGTTATTTTTGCAAAGACACAGTGCAGAAATAGCACACATCTGAACACAAAGTGTACTCCTTGATGCCTGCCTTGTATTTCAGCCGAGAGGAGCTGCTTGACAATAAATGGGAAGGAGAGAGAGAGAGAGAGAACCTTGGAGCAGGTGTGCCAATGAAGGCATCATAATCAGCCACTTCTAAAGGGCGCACTTCCCCCGGAGAAAAGGTTTAAGAAAGTAAGCAAGCAGATTTAATGAAAAATTTCGGGCCTACTGATTGAAATCTATTGCATTTTCTTACGATTTGAGAACACATCATTGTTGCATTAGGCAATCTGGTTTTGACTTATGTAAATAGAAAACAAAATTTTTCAAGGAATGGGAAAGTTTAGGGAGGCTGCCTCGTCCTATCGCACTGTGCCGCTTGCATCTCCTTCCTCTTGTCTTGGGGATGAGAGTCACCCAGGCCCCTTCAGGCGGGAGGCCCCTCCGCTCCACTGTACAATACTGACAACAAGCAGCTGCTCCCAGAAACAGGACACCCTCCTTTACCTCCTTCCTTTGCAAAAGCCGACACCTCTGCCTGGAACCTCCACCCGGGCCTCTTTACTCATCCCATCCACAGTGAGCCTGGACAGTGGCCACCTCCCGCCAGCAGCCTTTTCTGGTGCATTAAGATCTTCTGCCATAAGGCAGCATTAAGATCTTCCCCCAGTGGGTTCCAGCGGCGCCTGTTGTCACAGTGATGGCCCGGCTGTAACTACCACTTCCAAGACACAGTTCCCCACGCCAATAGGTCAGTGCACCCACTCCTATTGTGATAATGATCACTCTGCTCATGTTACTCAATTTTAAACACACTTTTTTTTTCACATTTAGAGGCTTTTGAAATCAGGATATTTTGAAAATAATGTGTGCACTGAGTGTGGCTGTGTTTCTGGGTTTTTTTCCTCCTGAAAAGCTGTTATTATATTATATTAAAATCAAAGAACTGTATTACTTAAACATGTGTGTTGACTATGAACTCCTAGGGAGCCTGAACTGAGTTCTAATCATCTTTGTGTCTCCACGCTACAACAGAGTGCGTACTATCTGGCCATTGCCCAAGGAAGGTTGAAGGCAGGGAAGAGGGGCTGTCTCAGTCTGTTTTGTGCTGTGCACAGACTGCGTCATTCAGAGACAGAAATCTATTGGCTTACAGTTCTGGAGCTGGAAGTCCAAGTCCAAGGTGCCAGCAGGTTCAGTGTCTGGTGAGACCATTTTCTTCCAAAACGGCGCCTTGGATGTTGTATCTGTGCATGGCAGAAAACAGATGGGTAAGAGAGGACCTGCCTCAAAGCCTCTTTCTATAGCAGGACTCGTCCACTTGTGAGGGCAAAGCCCTCATGATCTGACCACTTCCCACTGGGAACCAACACTGTTGCAGTGCAGGTTAATTTCCAACAAGAACACGGGAACACATTTATGCTGGAAGGGGAGAAAGGAAGGAAGAAAAGGAGCAGGAAGGAACTTTACAGTTGAGCGAGCTTCCTCACACCTCTATTTATTGACTTCCCATTAGAAGGCACTAGGATTTCTGCCTCTAAGACTTTCCTTCGGGCTTCCTTCTCCCTGCAGCCTGGACACCCACCTCTGCTGGGGATTATCAGCACAACACCAGGGCAGTCAGCAGCCCAGGGCACGCACTACAGTGAGGCCTATCAGGAGCAAAGTCAGAGATGTAGGGTCCTCATTGAACTCAGCTTCACCAGCCAGCTGGCTTCTCTACGACTTGTGCGTTCCACAGGGAGGAGCTCACCTCTGCATCCTCCACCATCTCTCAGGTCCTTTCTCTGGCCCACCGAGCATGCCCAGAGCTGGGCTTCCCACTGCGGGTCTCACCCGACCGCGGAAGACTCCAGTCAGCTGATTTCCTAATGTTGCCCTGCTTATGCCTCCAGCGACACCTCCCCTGGCCCCTTCTTCAAGCTCCAGCTCTTCCACAAGGTCTTCCTTGGTCACCCCTCACTCAGAACAGCCCCTGTCACCTGAGCATTCCCATCAGTCCTGTTCATGCTGCGGCTGTGGTTCGCAGCATTTCTCACAGCACAGGGCTACACACACAGTCAGAGCTTAAACACGTGATTAAAACAAAGGAATGCAACAATCAGCCCTCTGGGTTGCTGCCCCTTCGTCCTCGGCTGGGTCCACTCTTCTTTCTATTCCAAGCCCAACAAACCCTTCTCTGGGATCCCTGGTCGGTTGAGAATTCTATCCCTTGCCTCCGGTTTTGCCAGGTCCTTTGTTAGGGACATTCTCAGACCACACTTCAAGCATCCCCCAGAAACTCGGGCCAAGGAGTCCCTCTTGACTGTCCTGATAGCTCTCAGGGCTGGCTTCTCTCCTTCTTGGCCGCTGTCCCTCTCTTACAGGTTCCTTTCTGGTCTGGTCAGATAACAACCTTCTTGAGCCCTCTACAATACACCAGACATCATGGGGGTATGAGAAGTGGGACAAGGAGCAGGCATATCGCACTCCGGGCTTGTACAGAATTCGCAGCCCACTGGCTCTGTTAGGTACTGTTGACCTGAGCTGCTGTGAAGTCAGGTTGTTCTTCCTTTACTTGATTCTGTAAACCTCAGGGTATGATTTGCATTTGCCCCTATTAAATTCCATTGTGTTGAACCTTATCGGTCCAGCTGGCAGTGACGGTTTCCTGCTGGCCTTCCAGTCCCTCAGCAGGGTCGGAACAAACTTAATGCTCACAGCTTTGTGGGCGGCCTCAGGGAAAGAATGAATACCTGTCCACATCAGGGCTTTCATGCACGTCTTGGCATTGAGATACCCTGAGACCCAGCTAGCTTAGCTGCCTTTAAGGCTTGTTTTCTTAAGTGTGGGACAAGCGCAATAATCACTCATTTTCTCTCACCTACCTCTACCCTAGGGCTCTTCCCACAGTGCTCCTCCTCAGTAAATGGCACCAGCATCCCCCTGGTGGCCAAGCTGGGAACTGAGGCGAATTCCTAACTCCCTCTCCACGCCCCACCACTAACAAGTTCCTGGGTTCTTCAGGCACCGCTCCCTCGGGCCTCTGCACACTTCCCTGTCCTTCACCGGTTGAACTTGCACCATTCAGGCCTCAGCACAGCCATCACTTCCTTCAGGACAGTTTCTCTGCCCCGTCGATCAGATGAGGGGCTCCTGCCACCAGCCTTCCTGACGGGGTACCTTTCTATCACTTCACCTAACTCACTGCATTTCATTGCTAATTTAACCGTGTTCAGCTACATCTAAGTCCTCTGAGGATGTGGTAGGAGTCTGTTTTGCTCATCTTCTCCCTAGCATATAGCAGCCACTCAAAACATATTTCTTTTTTAAATGTTGGATTGAAAATATGCTTTTAAGATTATTTTTATTTTTTATTATTTATTTGAAAGGCAGAGCATCAGAGAGAGAAGGAGAGAGAGATCTTCCATCAGCTGGTTCACTTCCCTGATGGCCATAATGGCCAGAGATGGGCCAGGCTGAAGCCAGGAGCCAGGAATTGCATCACCCAGGTCTCCCATATGATACGGGTGGTAAGGGCCCAATTACTTGGTCCACCTGCTTCTGCCTTCTCAGATGGATTAGCAGGAAGCTGGTTCAGAAACAGAGCAGCCGGGAGTTGAACCAGTACTCTGATACGGGATGCCAATGTTGCAAGCAGCAGTTTAACCCACTGCACCACAACAACAGCTCCAATACATATTTCTTGAATTGCTGAATTAAATAGTAGTTCCATGAGTTTGATCAGGCAAGCAACTGATGTGGTTTTCCTGCCCTGAGAAGTCCTGGCCTGAGGAAAGTCTTCCAGCACTGGCCTCTAATCAGCAGTGGGACCTGAGTCAGGTCACAAGCCTCAGTTCCACATCTGGAAACGGAGAATAAAACGGTACCACAGGGGACAGTCACAAGCTCCAGGGGACGATGCAGATGAAGGAGACCCCAGACTTAAAATCCGGTTCCAATACAGGTGTGAGAAGGCCACCCAGCCATCTGTGAGCCGCTCGGCCCCAGCTTCAGCGTCTGTACCGAGGGCCTGAGTGCTGGAACTCATCACTCATCATTACCAAGTGCAGCAGGCCCTTCTCTTCACTCCTTCTCTGCCTGTTCTGCTGTCCTCCTCCTCCACTACTGAGCCCCTTCCAGAGGTGTCCTAACTGCCACTTTGATGGCGCTCTCTTGGTGGAGGGGTTAACGATCCTGCAGGCCCTAGAAACACATTGAATTCAAACGCAAAATGGAGAGCATTGTGCATTTCAGGGAAAGAGCAATTAGGAGCAGCAGTCACCGTGTACTCAGGAGGGCAAGAGAGCCGAGGAGAAAAGGAATCAAGTGACCTCATAAAGCCACTTAATTTCATTACCACCAGACACAGTTTCCCATTATTGCTCTTGGTGTTTAATGGTTTTATGATTCCATCTATTGATGCTTAGCTAGTTCATTAACCGTGCTGCTAAAAATACAATTATCTCCAACAAACCCTTCATCACGAATAAAAAGGGGAGAACCTCCATCATTAGCAGAAAGCAGCGGAGTGGACACACCTTCTGTGCGGTCCCTCCTGGCTCCTAGCTGGCACAAGATGACACCACACAAGCTTCAAAATACAACCTGAGCAGGCGCTTGGGACAGTGGCTAAGATTCTGCTTGGACAATGTGCATCCTGCATCGAGGTCCCTGGGTTCTGGTCCCAGCACCTCCTGTGACCCCAGCTTCCTGCTAATGTGCACCCTTGGAGACAACAGGTGATGGCTCAAATAGCTGGGTCCCTGCCACCCACATGGGACATGCAGATGGCTCCTGACGTCAGCCTGGACCAGCACTGGCTACTGCAGGCATTTGGAGAGTAAAATCAGCAGACTGCAGAGCTCTCTCCATTGGTGTGTGTGTGTCTTTGAAATAAGTAAAACTTATTAAAAAATCAACCAAACCACTGCCAGTTACTTAGCTGACTCCAACTAACTAGTTGGACCGACTGTGTGGATCCACTTGGCACTGATTCTGATGGGGTTGGGTAAGTCACTTGTCACAAAGCCAGTGCCTTGCAGTGGGAGACACAAGGATATGGAACCGCTCATTCAATCGCCAGCAGTTTACCAGCACTGGTTACACAAACAATGTGCATGAAAAAGTACCCTGAGGAACCAGCAGCCTAGTAGACGATCTGGGTCTGCTGAGGTCGGGGGATGGGGAATCCCAGTTAGGGACCTGGCCAGCTCTCTGCTGTGGCCAGGGAGTGCAGTGGAGGATGGCCCAAGTGCTTGGGCCCTGCACCCCATGGGAGACCAGGATAAGTACCTGGCTCCTGCCATCAGATCAGTGCGGTGCGCCGGCCGCAGTGCGCCTGCCACGGCGGCCATTGGAGGGTAAAGCAACGGCAAAGGAAGACCTTTCTCTCTGTCTCTCTCTCTCACTGTCCACTCTGCCTGTCAGTGGGTGCCGAGTAGGGCAGAGATGAAAGCAGGAGGACTGAACGGGGACTAAGCAGGACAGATTTCCCATCCCACAGGGCACACAAGCTCCAGCCATCATGGTGGTGTGCCAGCCTGCAGCCTCACCCTCCTCTCCTGCATTCAGAGCCTCCCAGAGGAGGAAGGTCAACCTACAGAACTCAGCTCAGCCATCCGAAGGGGGCCGGGGGCCAGCAGGGGTCCGTGGAAGGGTGCTTAGGTGGCCTGCTTGTTCTGAGGAGTCCCCTCTGCCTGCCTTTCTGCTGGAGGCCAACTTTCTCCTGGCAGCCCTGTGTCCCTGGCTTCATATCCCTTGCACTGTCTTCTCAGGCCCCTTTGTAGTCCCTTGATCAAGACAGGCATCAAGACATTTACATTTGCTGTATCTGTCTGCTTATAATGCTTTTCCCCAGAGGGACTCTTCAGGTCTTCGCCTAAACCTTTCTGCTCAGTTAACCCTTTCCTGCCCCCCCCCATCCTGCCCCCGGCCCTGGCTGGTTCATCTTTCTCATAACTCTTACCACCACCTGAGATCTTCTAGATTTTACTTTTGCGTTTGTTGACTGTCTTCCCAACTAAAACGCCGCTCCTGAAGGGCAGAGTTCCACAGGTTGTTCACTGCTCACCTCTTAGCACTGCACAGCACCTGGCACTGACACAGTGCTCCGTGAATATTTGCTGACTGCCCGAAGGCACTCATTGACCTGCTGTCTCCCAGCCCCGCCAGCTGACTTCTTCACACACTCAGTGAAAGATGCCGAGAGGAAGCAGAAGCCATGGTGCTTCCTTCCTCTGTTTCTCCCTGTCTTTCCTCTTCTGGT